ACCGGCCCAAAGACACCAGTTGGGTTTCTCTGTTTGAACTAACATATTATAAGAAGTATGTTCAACAAGGACTTTGTTATAAAATGCAAATGACTTTAGCTGAAACTGACTGTGCAACAGAAACTGACTGGTTGAACTCTGATTGTACCCTTATTCCAAACACAGCATCTATTCAACTTGACGTGAGTGTACAGCATGTTCCCTGGATCGGAGAGTGGATAGAAACACACTTGTCCTGGGTGAAACATAATTGCACCAGGCCTCTAATCTCAACTAGACCTCAGGATAGGAGTTGTGATAGACCACTTCCTCCAGTTCTCGTTCATCCTATAACTAATGTTCATCGCTGTCTCAACTTTAAAGCGGAGCACGGATTTTTCTTAGGTACAGCTGACTGTTCGGATAATATGATCAATCTCTATGGTGAGACGAGGGATTTACCACTTCCAGAGCAGGTTTATTTGGTTTGCGGCAATCTGGTTTATGGCTGTGTTCCCAGGATAGGAACTTCTCATAGGAAGCCCCTTACAGGCACATGTTATTTGGCATATCTTGTTCCTTTGATCTGATGTGCTGCTGCAGAAGAACTCGCCCCTTATCATGTACGACACCAACGCGCTATTTCCTTAGGTTCCAGAATTTTGAGTATTTTTATGCCATCTTATGGTGTATATATAACTCAACAGGAAGTGGCCGTACTCTTGTCTGTTTTAGAAAGGCACATGAATAGAACTACAGTAGCACTCACAGCCATGCAGGGAGAATTAGATGACATTAGACACATGGTGTTACAAAATAGAATGGCATTAGACTTGGTTTTGGCCTCACAAGGTGGTGTGTGTAAGGTTGTTGGTACAGAATGCTGCACTTATATTGCAGATGCTTCCTCTGCGGTCCATGATGTGATAACAGACACCGAACAAGGTATTAGGGAACTCCATGAGGATAACCACTGGAATCCCTTTGGAGGGATGCAGGCTTTAACAGGATCTTGGGGGTCTTCCCTCATCTCGGGGCTAGCATGGGTAATCGGGATAATCATTTTCATTGTGTTCATAGTTTTTTTGTTTGTGACCATTACCAAAGTGTGTGTTAAGAAAACTGTAACCACATTGGTAACAACAAAGTCTCAGGGCCAACCTGATTTGTACCCTCTCCCAGACTGGGTTCCCCCGTATTTTGAGGACAGTGACAGTGATGACACTTCTGAAACAGGCATCTAAGGTTTTATTATATTGAATGGTGAACAGAGGGTTTCATCTATGAAGAGTTTATGAAGTGATGTATCGAATCTTCGTGAATTTGCATCGCTGATGTTTTACTCTTTACATATTATGCTACAAAAAGAAAAGAAGGTTAAATTCTGTACTTCAATTGTCAAAATGAGAAAAGGGGGGATTGTAATGCGAAAAAACTGTTTTCCTCCACTTCATCTAACGTTTTCTTTTAATCGGACTGGATGTTCTCTGTGAACAAACCGTATGAACTGATCTCCGCAAATAATGTACACTTAATGATTAAGCAAGATAAACATACTTTGTACCCTGGATGAAAGTTGAACTGTCTACTTAAACAGGTGTATTTGATAGTCACTGTATAAAAGAGCTAAGTTAGAGATTGGAGGGTGTCCAGACTCTTGATACCGTTGTGGTTGAGAGAGGATGCACCCTATTTGGCCAAATAGTAATGTGTTGATCTTTGCCTCTGCTTATAATCATTGTGTTGATTGCTGGTTGTTCGTTCTAATTTGACATAGTGTTCGGTAATAAATCTTTGAATCTCGATAGACTCATTGTTGTCTGCTTTCCTCACCTTAGAGCAAAATTGCCTCTACAGTAATCAGCACAGTGCCAAAAATGCCGAAGAAGAAACGAGCTGCAATTTTCCTCAAGGAATTTCCTTCTAAGAGTGTCTGTTAATTCCCTACAGAAGAAGTGTGTCATGCCACAGTGCCCTGATATTTCGTGGCTGTTTAAACAGGTGAATATCGTTTCTTTTGCATCCAAGCACATCCAGTTTTTTAAAAAAGGTTTCCAAAATTTAAGTTACATCCCAATCAGCAATGTAACGCAAGTTCGGGAGGAGGAGAATCACGAGGGCAGGTGACACAGTGCCGACATCAATTGATTCTTACAGGCAGTTAACTAATAATTCACGTGGGAGTGTATTAACGCAAAGCAGACATTTACATGATTTTAACATCACTCTTTATTCATCTTCCCCAAAGACATTTTAAACTACAAATCCTCCTGATTTGTAGCTACAATTTGTGTGTAAAGTAAATCAGAATTTTGGAAGAATGAAAAAAGCATAAGTAAGAACGCCAAATAATCAAATCAGCTGGAAAAATAATAAAAGTATTACAGTGAATTTGTAAATGTGACACAAAGGCAACAAAGGTTTGTTGTAGAGAAGCCTATTTTGATTCTTGATTGATCTGTTGATTATTTTTTTCAGTTAATCATTTGATTTGGTTACGGCATTGTGAAAAATGTGCAAGGTGAAGTCTCTTAAATTGTTATAGTTTATTATTGTCTTTTTGGAAATTACTCCGGATTAACTAGAACTTCTAAAATATGTTGCTTGTAAAATAAAAGGTGTTTGCTTCAGCCATCTGAAGGCACAGGACACCCTGATGAGGGAGACAGAGGTTATCAGTTTAAAGCCTGAAGGATATTACCACAGTATTCACTGTAAACGGATAGCAAATATCCTATGTTTCCCTTGATAACCCTGATAAAACCGACTCTGACCTGCTCCAGTCGTGGTGATGACTTTAGCTTTGCTACGAGCTCCATCTCCCTTGGTGGTGTATGCTGCTACAGTGACAGAGTATGTGGTCTCAGACTGCAGTCCACCAATGATGGCCTCCTGCAAAATGGAGAAATCACGAGGTCAGAGGTTAAAACAAATCAATGAGCAGAGTGGGACCGCCTCGGAGGCAAACAAGCCCCACCCATAAAAAAAAAAAAAAAAAAAAAAAAAAAACCAAAGCAAAAACAAAAACCCCTCTCACACAAGCTCCTAGCCCCTGAAAAAAACCACACAACACCAAAAGAAACCATAACAAGATTAAACCCCTTTCTCCATCCACTTGTAGTTTCTTGATCAATTTGCCTATAAACAGGAAACAAAATATTTTAAGCACTGAACAGATAAAAGATTTGAAGGCACACAAACAGGAGCAGGAACTTTTCTTTGTCTAGAAAAACTCCTGCACCCAATCATAAGGTACACACTGAACCCATTAACCAACAAACCAACCAAATGAACCAGAACATCACCAGTGTGTCAGTGTTCATGTCTGCTGCATGGATAAGCTTGAGATTATACTCAGAGGATTTTAGGATCATCGCTACACTGCAGTAAGTGTAAAAGCCAAAACAACACAGTTGTGACTGTGGGACATGTTGTTAAAACTCTTTGAAATAAATCTAAAAGATAAATAAACATTACAGATATTACACAATTATTTTTTTTTAAATTATGGAGTTAGATTCTTGGTATTTGCTGTCCTCTGGAATCCCATGTTAATTAAGTTGAATGTTCAAAAGGTCTTTACACAAGAACACAGACACACTAAAGTGGTTGAACAAATCAGTAACTCAACAGTCAGGAACAAACAGTCAGAAAAACAGCAAACAACTGAGGTAACACACTGTTATTGGTAACCTGCTGCAGTGCTGGCACTCACTTCACCAGACTGCATCAGTCTGAATAAAAAAACACACCCACACACTCTGGAATTAAACACTCTCAGAGCTGGAATAAAGCACATATGTAAACAGACATACAAACACAGACATACGTGAATGCACATACTCACCGATGTATATAAACACACACATTGAGTATGCATGCACACACAAACACACCATAAATATACACATGTGCACACACACTACGTTACACGCAGACATGAGCACACACTTGATACAAAGAACAAATTAATGCCTGGGGCTTGAGCACACATACTGGAGCTGTCTGCTTCTGACTGGGGCCACTGAGAGGACGAATACGCCGATGCCTACAAGCCTTCCTGTCGGAACTCCCTGCAAACTTCTCACACGCTTGGGATGTTATACGGCTTTTCCCTAATGCTGTTTCTCCAACTAATGAAGTTTTAATTTCGTAACCATAGAAGAACATTTAACTGTCTATATAAGCCAGCTCTGTTTGACAATGCTTTTTACTGCCCCTCTCTTTAAGGGACATTTGGTGCTCCCATACTAGCTTTTAAGAGAGACGGGGAGGAAAATGCTAAATTACTGTATCATAAAACCATTTTAACTTTATAGAGGAAGTCTCATTACTTTAATCATACAAAATGGCTTTAACAGTCTCAGCAGTGGCAGCCGCAGAGATCTTTTTTCCCCCTATTCTGGCAAGGTCGAATTGGGTCTCGTAGCACTTTTGAAACTCAGCAGAAGATAGAAAAAGCAAGGCTTCAAAGTTTCCTTCAGAGCAAATGCTTAGAGCAGCACCAAAGGGCATTACAGAGATTATCAAGTCAACTAGTTATAGAAATGGATTCTTCTCTGCAAGCCTCCCTACACCACTATCCACACTAGGATAGAAAATGCCTGGGGGAAAATGGGCAGCATTGTTAAAACAAACACACTCGCTTTAGATAATTTTTTATTGTTTAAGCACAACATTTAATGTTCTCTGTGTGTTGTTTGATTTTAAAATGCCATTATTATCTGAAAAATTTAAAATTGATTTCAAAATTTTACTCTCTGTGAACAGGCCATGGGTCAACAAGACATGCTAATGTTTTTTCTGTTGACATCTGCCTGTAGCCAGTCACACCACATTAGTTACCTGGCACACAGGCTGCTATTGCCTAAACATGGCTGCTAAAGAAATAATAAAGACGTGTGAACAGATGTCTTCCTCTGACAGCGTCTAGCTCTGCGTCTGTCAGGTGTTAATCAGCACGTTAAGAGGAGAGGGAGAGGAGGCAAGCCTGATTCATGCCATGTGGGTGTAGCTAGAGGAATCTGGCCATGTGTGCTGTGCAACCAGATTTCCTTTTAACTGAGAGTTATCAAATGAAGACTGAATGATCTGTGCACATCCTGCTGGCTCATTTAAAGAGGAGGAAAAAAACAGTTATATGAAAAAACTGATTTTTTTAAAAAAAACTATCATCCGTCAACGTTTACAGGTGGTCACTGGTTTGATTAAGAAGGGAAACAAGTGCCGAAAATAGCTTAAATGTTATAAATCTTTTTTAAATAATTAATTTGCCCTTGCTGGCATGCTGAAAACAGTGTTTGTTATTCTAGCAGGTTTCTATTGAATTTCTGACTGGGAACAGTAAGTGACTCTGCATTTATGCTAGTGCAATATGACGTCTGGGAGGTAATAAGCCGTAACAAAGGGCTATGTGACAGCCCTGAAACAGTGAGCTGCCATCCAGGCAAATGAAAGGAACATGAAAGGCTGGTGGCAATCTTGGAGATGTGCGGAACTGATAAAACGCACAGCTCCTCCCCTCAGATAGACATGTCATCTGGAACAGTAGGGGAGACAGCAGGTTAGGCGAGCCTGATTAATGTCAGCACCACACTGGGATAATGCCACACAGCCTTTGACTGCACTGTATGCTCAGTGATGGGGGAAAGCTCTGCATGCTCGCTATAGTAAGTGCCTCAGATCAGAGTTAATGCCCAGCTGTTACTACAAGTTTGTCTTACGGTACAATGTTGAAATATTAGACTTGTATGCAATCATCAGTGAAAAGTGGTTATACTAGATCTTAGAGAACATCACACACACATAAATATCAAAACCAGGAATCATTAGGACAAACATCTCTTGCTGTGGTTATGATGGGGTTATGATCTGCCATGAGGATCATGAGGATTCACACCGAGAGGCTTGCACAGAAATAAATACACGCACACAACTCATAATCCACACACACAAGCATACACAGCACCCCTAAACTGCAGAGGGGAGAAGGCCTGCCCTGCAAGACAACCCAGCAGCACACATGAGGGTTACTCACATGCTCGGTGGACTCCTCAATATTCCACTGATGGGAGAGAAGACACAGGACACAGGGCGGGGAGAGAAATGAGTCAGAGACAACACAACAGGCAAGGAAAAAAAGCGCTTGTCTTTTTTTCGCTCAAAGACAGATGAATGTAGGTGTCAACAGAGTCGTGCAGTAAAAAAAAAAAAAAACACAGGGAGAGAGTGTGATGGAAGAGGTGTAGTAAAAGGGAAAAAAGAAATGAAGACAAGTTGAATGGCATAAAACAAACTGTGTAACTAAGTTGAGCAATTGTTGTGAAATTCATTATTGTTTATGATGCACTGCCTTGTTTCTCATTTGCCTGTGTATCCAATAAAAACCTCTCACTTTCTTAATCGCAAAATACATCTATTCAGCAGGATAACTATCTCACTGTGGACATAAACCAAATGTAGAATCCCTCAAGTATTTCCCTCTTCCCTTACAGAAGTGGAGGGAGGGCCCTTTTATTCATTATATTTCAATATGTTTTCAAAATGTTCTCTTGCTCGCTGTGCTTGGCCAAGTGATTCCTGGGGGAAGTGAAAGCCCATTCTGTGCCGCAGGGCTCCATTGGTGCCGAGCGTGAAATCCTATTACCAGTGCCGCTATGCTAGCCCTGTGACATCAAACCCCATCGATGCAGAACGCAACTGCTGGCGTTTACCAGCAACTCGTTCCACAGTTCAGCTACTGCAGAGGAGTTCACTGATGGGTGGCCTAGCTGTCAAGGGGCAGGAGAGATGACAATGGTGACACTGATGAGAGACAAAGAGGAGAAGAGAGAAGGGATGCATGGTTTGAGGAGGGTGAGAGGAGGAAGAATCTTGGGTGAGGATGATGATGGAAAACATTTCTATTTGATTATCAGGGTGCGTAACTATTGTTACAGCTGATGGTGGATGGGGTAACACTAAGAGGGAGGGGATTGGCAAAAGATAACGCTGGAACATGAGGGGGTTACAAGAGGAAGTGAAATAAATTGTAAGGTCAGAAATTGTATTTAACCATCAAATTGTAGTCAAAGTGTTGGTTCATCCAAATTACAAAGCAACCTTACTCTGACCTCCGACCTGAATCTAGTGGTAGCTCTAGTGATCTCTGAATGGTCTGTTGCCACTCAATGGAGGTAAATGAAATTTAGTTGGTTTTGCTCACAGTATGAAAACATTAAGTAGCAATATGTCTAATCACTTTGTGAAGTTTAGTTAAAGTGCAGAGCTGACAACTCAGCAAAAACATTAGGGGTCATCAGTCCTATACCACGTGTCTTACCACCTGTTATAAAGACATTTCATTCAATTGAAAGGTTTGTTTTTGAGAATTACTGAAAAATCACCTGCCCAACACGATGCTGTTGAAGCAGAAACACCGCAGCTGCACCTTATTTATACAGTCTTTGAGCTACACAAAGCACACACAGCTATGCAAGTGATGTAGCTATGCTAACTAGGGTCCGACACTGATAGGAGCACCAACCGCAGATGAGACACGACGGATCTATGCCTTTTTTTAGCGCCTTTACTCATGTTTTAAAAAAAACTGCGTATATACATACATTTTGGTGTAAAAAGGGTATCATTTAACATTTGAATTTAGCAATGTACAATATCACTACAACCTAAATTTAAAGTAAGCAAAGTTTCCTTTACATTGATTTTTATGTTTTCCTCTCAAAAAAAGTATACAGTTACAATATAATTACTACAAATGTATTGTGTTTAATGCTATGTCGGCCATAAGTACTGGAATTAAATTTAATTTAGAAATTGAAATTACAATTCACGATTCAATATTGGTAAAAAATAAAATCACATTTACATATTTTTCTCAAATCATTCCGACTTATAGTAGATATCACAAATGCTTTAAAACCACAGCTATTGTACATACACAGCTAATCACCACTAGAAGTAATTATAACAATAATAATATAAAGGTTTATATAGCACTCATCAAAAAGATTACAAATGCTTCATAAGGATAAAACAGTAGTTTTAAGCGAGGGGATATGCTTTTTTTGTAATATGAATGAAGAACATGACATTTGTAAAGCAGACACATGCCCTTTAAGACAAAACATTATGCCAGGGATTCCTGCTCGTCCATCTTTGCCTTCTTCTCCAGACTTTCACAAACATAAGGAATGAGCCTCACACACTGTTGATCCATTGTGCACTGGAGAGACGGTGTTCATCATCCTCCATTGACTGATGGCATACAAAAAGACAAAGACCCAGCTTCTCCGCCCTACTCCCTGTGGATGGGTCTTTATCACCAACTGGCTAACTGAAGCATGAGCTAGGCCTCTGTATGGTCCCAGTTGTGACTGGTTGAGACACATGGTGCATCAAAACTTGCTGCCTAATGCTCTCCCTGACGTAGCGGGGCACTGAAGAGTACCATTTAAGAACAGCTGCTACTTAACTCCATGAATAACAGTTTGCAACGTGCCTAATTGCTTAATTTGTTTACCGTCGTCTCCACTCACTATGTCAACAGAGCAACTAACACATTAAGGTTCGCAAGAGTTCCTATCTCATCTTGGGCTTAATCCCTTTCTATCGCAACTTCTTTTGCTTTCTGCTTCAATCCATGGGAGAATTATAAATTATCCCCCATTTATATTTCGAATGCCAACGCAAGCTGAAAACACATCATTGCTGATAAGCGTCGTTTGTGGAAACGGAGCGGTATAATTTGCAGGCGGGTGAATGCAAATGTGATGACATGGGCTGAGATGTGAGGCTATAAAAATGGGAACGAGGGGGGAACGAGTGATGTGGAAGAGAAGGAGCTGTCATGATTGATGGAGTGAAGCGGTCTGAGGTGCTTCTTTTCTCTTTTTTTTTGATTCCCATTCAACTCCAATCTGAGGCACTGAAGGCCACAGAGGCAGTGAAGCATCGCCTCACTTGCTTGCACACACACACACACACACACACACACACACACACACACATACAACACAAAAACGCATGAGCGGTCAAATAAAATGAACCTGGAAAAGTAGTGCTGAATAAAGGCAAACTTGTGCAGGAAGGCAAGAGTGTGCAGAAAATGTATAGAAGCCCAGACTGTGGCTAATGACTTCAAACTCAATCATGCCATTTTCTAGCAGATTGTATTGATGCTTATATGAAAATCACGAGCCTAGAGGTTGCTGCGAGTGCATAGTGATGGAGCAGGCTATGTGGTGTGGAGTAGCCCACTCAGGTTCAGGCCACTTTCCCGACCGAAATATGGCGGGAAAGGGGTCGATAACATCCCACTGTTAACATGGCCTCTGGTTTAAATTTAGCAGGGAAATGAGGGCGCTGTGTGGGCTTCTGCTTGAAAAGAAAAGAGGCGCTTAAACCGCCCACGCACAGGCAAGCTCTCCTAGCTCTCCCCCCGGCGTTTCAGCTAACCCTGAGAGAGGGTGAATAGGAGAGAAGTAGCCAGAAACAGAGAGACAAAGAGAGGGGGAGAGGTGATCGCGAATTTGACAGGATCTGCAATCATCTTAGATTTATGAGTGAAGTCTAACGTGAGGTCGTGGTATGACGCGGGTGCTGTAAAAACCTGGATTTTTTTCTTTTCCTCTTGGCATGCTTAGTCTGCATCCAATTCAGGTGAAAGGGTGGATATGGAACTGATTTCACAACACATTAGGCAAATTCTTGAGAGAAACACTAAGGGATGTGCCAAGATAGAAGAAAATTGTTTTTTTTCATCATCAATTACAGGTGTGCCTTTGAGGGATTTGCATGAGTCTGGGATGAGTCACGAACTCTTCTCAGCCAGCTGGAACGCCTACTACAAGGTTGATCTAAACATTGAGCATGTTTGCTCATGTTATCTGTGTTGTTTTTTCCACTTGCTGTTAGGGTACGTGAATGGAAAAACATGCAAGAAAGTAGGGATTGTTCTAAAAACCGGTTCGGCAAATGTTAACAAGGGAGCGTCGGCTGACTGTGTGGTCTTTAATAGCATCTGGGCAGGTCCGTGCAGGTTAGCCTCCCAGTGTCTCATAGAAAACAATTTGAGGTGATTCCATCAAGGGTGAAAAACCTGCACGCAAGCCTCTGGTAATTGCTCAAGTGGCTTCCCGGGCAGGAAGTATACAAAGGGAGGGCATGAGAGAAAGGGAAGGGAGTTGGAGGGAAGGAGAAAATGAAAAACATAGGAGGAGGGAGGAGAAATTCAGGTTTTTTGCCAGGGAGGGGACGGCGAGTTTGAGAGGTGCCCTGGACACCAAACTGGAACATGAGAGCTGTCCTGAGTGCCAAATTGCAGTGTGTCTTTGTGTTTATTGTGTGAACCTGGCACAAATGAGACATGGCGGGGAGTATTGTTTGCACAACAAGTAGGGTCATGTTCAGTTCAGTTTTCATAACACAAAACAAAGTCACGCTGAACATGTCAACATGAAGAAAACAGGAAGACAAGCAGCCACCATGTTTTTCTCCTCGTCCAGACCAAACGATGCCCTGGCTGTCAAGCACTCTTGTACACAGTCAGATACCAACAACAGCAACAGCTGGCAGAAACTACTGCTGTAAAACAAAGGTGTTGGACTGTGTTTCAGAGTTGAAGGCAGACTCTTTGGCCAGGTGTAGAGACACAGCCAAGTAGCAGTCAAAGCCTCTGTTATACAGTTATTCAGGGCTGTCAGGCCAGAATTAACTTAATATTAATTTTATGTTTAAAAATTGCCATCAAGTCCCATGTGAGATGGGCCACTTGGGTGGCTTGACAACCGAAGAAATTATTCATTATGTATTTATCACTGAATGCCCTGTGACACAACTGGGATCCACAAGCTGCTACTTAGCATCACTTGGGATGTACCACATTTGACACATCATATCAAGGTGACTTTGACAGTGATTCCTCTTCTGTAATGATAAGACTTAAGACGGCAGAGTGTTTGCCAGAGCAAATGAGGGTTAATAGCTCCACTCAAGGACACAGAAGTGTGCAATGCCTGAGAACTAAACCAGCAACCAGCTGGTCTCCCTAAATGCCGCTGCTCAGCATTTATCAGAAAACACTGCTCAGAGACACATGCAAGGCTGCTCAGATTTTTTTTTTTGTGGTGTTCCTGCGGCCAGGGAGCGCTTACTTGTTCAAATTCAATGTTTTTGTTGGAGGCCATCAAGGGTGCGAGTGAATGCGTGTTCGTGCAAATGTTACTCCTGGCAAACAATCAGAAGGAGGCTCTTAAGCTGGTCTCTCCTCTCCCAAAGAGCGGGAAAAAAGTGAGAGTGGGGTTTTTGGTTTTAAGATATTCATGAATCTCTGAATCCCTCTTAAGGATTACAATCTCTCATCCATCTCACTGTGTCGCAAAGCTTTGGGCGATTCCGAGCAGCCTGCATTAATGTGTAAAGGGCGGCGTCAAGAAAATAACTCTGATTTATAAACATGGTAACAAGGCAGTGCATATGTATTACTGCTAAAACCGCAAAGAGAGGTGCATTGATTCCGTTAAGCCCCATCCTGATGTAACACATATAAAATATTTAATAGTTATTACTGTAGAATTAGAATGGATCTTGTTATGACAGCTAATCCAAAGCTGTGGGAGCAGGGTACCAATTTAGAGTTGAATGTCACATGTGGAGAAAGATGAAAAAAAAGAGAGGGTGGGAGCTCTGCAGTCGACAGAAAGAAAATTCCATGTGTGTCACCCAGTATGAGGGAAATGAAGTGTGAACTCAGAGAATGGAAGAGAATAGGGGAGCGGTGGAGAATGAAAATAATGGGAAATGATGATAAAACAGCTATAGACAGTGAAAGTGAGACAGAGAAAAGACTGGACGGAAAAAGACATCATCCAGTACCTGGGCCTCTGGCAAAGCAACGTCCATGATGTTAGGCTGGCCTCGAGGTTCGCCATTGTCAAGCCGAGAGAAGATGACTTGGTATCCTCGGATTTGGCCGTGCTGCTTCCCCGGCAGGGGGGGCTTCCAGGTGACCCGGATGGCTGTGGAGTTTATGGCCTCAACCTCCAGCTTCCTTGGGGGTGCTCCTGGCACTGAAAACCAGAAACAAAGGGGGAGAGAGGGAGGGAAGGCAGAATGCAAGAGTAAGACAGACATTGAGAGAGGGAGGGCGGAAAGAGTAAAATTATGCTGAGCTAGCGTTTTGCCTCAGTTCACTGTGTTTTGTGATGAGGAACCAAAAACTATCAAAATAATGACTCCTGAGTTTTTTATTGACTTGGGTGCTCTGTAGAAGCAAGTTATACTAGAATTGGTCATGAATCAAAGTCATCTCTATTCAATTCAGACCTTCTGTGATGACTGTGTCCCCAAAACACCCTATACGGGACAGCATGTGGTCTAACCATGTCTGTAATGCCCTTAATTCCGGTATGAAATTAGCTGTGTTGCAGCAAACTTCAAACACATTAATTATAGACGACTCTCTCTGAGGAGCAGCCGCTCTCTATCACACTGCAAACTAAACGAGGAACGAGTGAGAAAAAGAGGGGAGAACGATAGAACGGAGAGGGAGAGTTCTGCTCCACTTCTTTTCTGCAGAACAGAAGAAAGAAAAACAAGAAGACATTTAAACAGTGAAAGCAGAGCAAAGTGGTGCAGAGCTGGGGCCCAGGGGTGAGAGGACTTAACCCGGCAGAGATGCAGAGTGTTAAAGCTGTAGAGAACAAGGCTTGAAAGAGGAAAAAAGAGAAGGTGACCCCTCTCCCACCACTACTCCCTCATTAACTCATAATTGATCAACAGGACAAAGAGAGATGTGCAGTAGAAGCTGTGGAGAGTGAAGAAAAATAGTGACAAGCAGCCCCAAGCAACAGAGATATAAAGAGTCTGGGAGCACTCTTCTTCAGGCGAGGTGTCTACCTACCATCCTCTCTGGTTTTCATCCTCACTGGGGCACTCTCAGGGCCCGGGCCCACGTCAGTGTGTGCCCTCACCCACACCTGATACTCAGTCCACTTCTCCAGGCCCTCCAGCACGTAGCTGGTGGCGTCTGCGCCGATGCCCGTCACCTCATGCTGCTCTGTGTCCTCTCCAGCCAGGGCCTGGTAGCTGACTGTGTAGCGCACAATGGCGCCATGGCGGCTAGCGGCAGGCGGTGCCACCCAACTCACCTTGAGGCTGGTGGAGCTCAGGCTGACCAGATGTACCTCTTGAGGGGGAGCAGACGGGGCTGCAAGGGGGACGGGGGTGGGGGTGGGAGCAAAACCACACGAAGGAGGGGCACGGATCAAGCAAACAGAAAACAAACTAAAACACAAAGAAAAATAAGGCAAAACTGTGGAAGCTTTTTGTACAGTAGGCAACATAAAAAAATCTAAATGTAATATTCAAAATGTCAATGTAATGTTTTAGAGTTTACCACCTATAGTATGTATGCAGGATTAGGCTACACATGAAGACTGATTTCCCTATTGAGCTGATTTTTGTATGATGTACTTTTCTATTGCACTGCATAGGTATTTTTTAATAAAAGCCAGAACAGGGACAGACATTACAATGAAGCTTGGAAAATAAAAGCTGTGGAAAGTGGCTTCAGTCTGATTTTCTATGTTTATGTATTATCCCTTTAAATAAACAAAGCTGGGTTTAACATACATGTACATGGATGTACTGCAAAAAGCCTTATGTAACTATATATTTTTTTAAAGATACTGATTCTATCTGAAGTACATGCCATCAAGATCCAGCTAATCTATTTCATGTTTTAGATATACATATATATATATATCCTCTACCTTTACTATGAAAGTCTCTTTGTGAGTTGCTTTGTGAGCTGGTAAGACTCACAAATCATTTGCACACATACTGCAGGTTATAAATGTAATAATATTAGATTGCAAGTTTGAATATGACATTTCATTTTTATGCTGAGTACAAAAAGGTTCCATGCTAAACAGGATGCTGCCTCTGGACTGAGAGAATGGCTGCAAAAACACATTACCAGGCTACTGTTGAAGCTGTGTTTGGCACTGCATTTATGCGAGAGGCCATGAAACGACAGGGTGAGGTGAACGAAATATAAAATGTGCCAAAATTTTACAAGGCAATGTTTTTTATAAAGGCGTAATTTGTCCCTAATTGCCCTCTCGGCTGCCTCTCACAGTATGCAGAAGGAGCAATAAACTGGCTATAGATGTGCCAGTGTGTGAACAAGTGCTTGACAGTGTTAACTGCTCTGGGCTTCATAACAGTATTTGTCAGACCCTGGTCAGAGCTGCAGCTGAGATGCACTGGACTATCACCAAGGCTATACATAAAGCTACTGTTTCAAAATCAATAACAGTATTGAGATTTCCAGCCACTATCAACATCTGGATTGTAGCCACTGCTACGGAAAACCATATTATTATCATTATCAGATGGGACAAATTTCTAACATGTTGTCATTAACTAAACTGAATGGCAAGAACTGGACCAGCAATGTTGCAGCCTTACGGGTTTGGTCTTAAAACTACTGGCCCAACACGGCATCAACGTGAATTTTTATTTAAAGTCTAGGCATAATATCGACATGCCACACTCAGTTATAGTCTGTCCACCTCACCCTGCTACGTTTTATAATCACTAACTCTAAAGGCATGTCCCAGCACATGTAGAAACACAGATAACTCCTCTACATAGTAATCTCTAGCTACACCTCCAGTATGGATTAATAAGATTACCACAATAAATAAGATTAGATTATTTACAACGGCTGCAGCATAAAATGTATGTCAACTCTTAAGTCCAGAGGTAAAAACAGAAAACCAATAAATAATTTTAAAATGGAGAACAAGAAATACACTGAAAACAAACTCAATAGCATTCATAAATTTCATGCATCTAACTTAATCACAAACTTATTCAACTCTTAAACAAAAAAAGGGCTCTTCAAAAGAGAATAAAATGAGAAACCAAGGGGAAAACAAAATCAAGGCAAGGTGTTCTCGCAAAGCATGCCCATGAAATTTCTTTTTTAATAAGCAGAGCAATGAACAGTGAGCTCAAATGTGAATCCAATAAACTAATGCCAGAACAAGAAACTCCACCTTTTTCAAAAACATTAGGGCTTAACAAAAGAGAAGTGAGTCTCATCAGGTGGTCCCTGATGCACAAGAGACTGGACAGAAAACTACAAAGACCTGACAACACCACATGTAATAAAAAAAGGTGACAGACTGAATCAAAACAATGCTGATAATTTGCAGAATAGATTGTGAAATTGAGGTCCTGATGAAAAATATGCTAGATCAAAGTCAAATTGGATGTGGGGAGGACAACACCACAGGAAATTCATACACCTCGGAGGCAAAAATGAACGAGACAAATAGCGGGCTCAAAATAGAGATAAAATTATCAATGAGGAAGATGAAATACCTCCATCTGCCTCTACTTCTTTCTAATGTAACAGGCCAACACACAATTCTTTAACTATATACTGTATATTGAAAATATGTTCACACGTAATTTAAGAAGTATGGATGGGAAATTGGCATTTATTGTGTTTCTCAACCATGGTAATTCAAATATGAACCTTACTGCTGTCTGGTGTAATGGTGTACACAAAACACCAGAAGTATAGTATAGTATAGTAGTTGTCCAACGTTTTCTTGTGTATTGCTCTAAAAGACCTGCCAATCATTTTGGAGTGATAGATTTCTATTGGAGATAACTTTTTGTTTAAAATCTGATTATGAATTGTTACCTCTACCTCTATAATTTCACTCTCAGTTTTAGGTAAAATAGCATGATACTTTTCCGCTTTTGTTACTGTTACTGCCAAGTCCTCATCTGAGTGGTACAGTTGTAGTGTTTAACCATAAAAGAAAACAAAGAAAACCAATAGGAATACAGCACAGTTATGTTCATTGCTCTGAATCTTAAAAATATGATACTAGCCATTGAAATGCAGCACTTGAAAATGTCACTCTTCCCCACCGTCTGTTTGCCTTTCAACCTTCCTGAGGCCCCTGCTTTGTTTCGAGCACACCACCCTACTATTGCATGAAATCCAAATTCTGCTCTCCAAATTCTGTGTCCTTGTGTCTACTGCTGACGGGAGGCGCAAGGACACAGACTCATCACCACTCGTGATCTTGATTGACAGTTATATAACTGTGGGGTTGTCAGAGGTGTTAGCTCTTCAATGATTTTGTCTGTCCCTGTGCGGAAAATTTTCAAAAAGAGATATCCATACCCTCCGTCCAGTCCTTTCTATTCTAATAAGCCACAGCGATCATGTTACTGACTGGACTGAAGAGCATTACTTGCCATCTGATGTTATTTTGGAATTTCTTTGACACACTTTAATAGTTGTCTTATAGTGTTATTTACAGTAACACTTTTACCAACACCAATATGTGCACTGTGAGGTAACTCTATACACCCACAACAACTCAACAGGTATCACAGAGTTTACAGTTTATGTTCCAAAAGTAACAAATATTCCTTTTATTTTGAACCTATTATTTTATATATAAACAAAATGCTGTTCTGTACAGAATGCGTGCAAGGCAAAAATATACTGCACATACGCCCCCTGGGTGAGGTGGTACTAGTATGGTGCAACCGCAGCAAAAAAGTCAGCAGCCAACTGGCAGAGTGACATTTTGAGCGCTGGCACTGTAACAGCCTATAAATATATGAGGCAAAATAACACAGCACAGCTCACAAATGTGGGAACAAGACACATTAAACGTACCTTTGACACTGAACACAGGGCCTGCCCTCAGATAGATGGACAGGAGGGTTAGTGTTGGTGACAGAGGGGAGGTGGTGGAAGCGTGAGGCTGGCAGGGATGGCTGCACTGTCAGCATTTTATGTTGAGCTGAAATTGACTTGACATTCAAGTTGCCCACGCTCTCTGTATTAAGCTTTATGAAAGTCAACTTTTTTCCTGCTCTGAAAGTAATGACCTAAACCTGCGTCAGCTGTGGGTGACACTCACCCTGCGAAGTCATTGGTTAGTGGACAACGAGGAGATAAGACAGACAGCGCAAGAGAGAGAAAAAAAAAAAGTGGACTTACTGGACTGGGCGGTACGGGCCTCGATGGGCTGTGTATAAACGCCTAAACCCATCTCAGAACGGGCTGCCAGTGAGAAACGGTACAAGGTGTCAGGCTTTAAACCGTCCACAGCATAGGAGCCTGCTGGGTTGAAGCTCTTGTGTATCTGGAGGGGGCAGAATCAGTCAGAAACATTCCACTGAATTACAATCATATACAGTATTTGTTGTCTTGCTGTATCTGGATCCAGTGTTGCTTAATCATGGTGGAATTAATCTTGAACTGAAATCCTGAAGCCTAAACTGCTGTCTATCCTTCCTGCATTCATACAGGGTAGAGAATACAGCCAAATTTGAGAGCATCTTGTTCCAAAAACAATTTGTCCTCTGGTTTACAGTTGGTGCAGTGGTCCAGCAGAGTTGAATGAAGGGCACCAACACTGAGAGACAGAACTGAACAACTGTGTGCTGTCTGTTACTACAGTAAATCTTTCTTATCAGCTGGGGAGCTGACTGCAGTACTACAATAACATTGCTTCAGCCGAGGCTTCCCATTCAAAGAAATTGCATCATAAAGAGCAAAATTCATTCGTCTGCAATCTCACAGTGGAATATGAGACCAGATAGATAGATAGATAGATAGATAGATAGATAGATAGATAGATAGATAGATAGATAGATAGATAGATAGATAGATAGATAGATAGATAGATAGATAGAAGGGTTGTGGTTGAGAAAACCAAGTCATGAAATAGTTATAGCTTTGTGTTGTTATTCTAACCTTGTTGTCTGAGCCATCCTCCCAGTATTGCAGCTCATATTTTGTGATGGGGCCCTGCACGGGCCACAGCCATGTTAGCATGATGCGGGTGTCCAGCTCGGCTTCTGCCTCAAAGCTAGACGGCTGGGCAGGGACTGGATACAGAGGTGCAAGAGGACAGAGGTTGCAGAATTAAAAAAACAAAACAAAAAGAGTACATTACTAAAGACAAATGTTTTCCAGTGTCAGCAGTAATAACAACCCCAACACGGACTGTACAGGAAGGCTTATGCATGGCAAAAACAAATTCATACACAAAAAGCCATCTTAACATACATGCTCTACAAATAACTACACCAGAAGGAATATGGGATCTAATCTAAGATTCTGCTTTGTCTAAAATTATCCATAAGCATATTTGGATACAGGAAAAATGGACATTGTATACATATATACATTAACACACATTGATTAAAATACAGAGCCACACACACAGTGGCTGGCTGCTCACCTCCCTGCTGGGTTTTCACTTGCAGGATGTCAGAAGGTGGCCCGTCACCTACAGAGGTGAAGCCCAGCACCCTGAGGCTGTACGTGATGTCAGGAGTCAGGCCTGAGATGGTAGTCAGACTGCTGTCATCTGTGTTGTGTTTCTGCCAGGCGCTGAGTGGAGCCGTCAGGTCAGAGCTGTAGTATACCCGGTAGCCCCTGATTTGCCCATTGGGTTCCTCGGGCGGTTCCCACTGGACCAACATTGTGCTGGCACTCAGCATGCGCGCCTGGACGTGCAGAGGTGGTGAGGAGGGGGCCTGTTCACCAGTGCGCGTCTCCACAGCCTCGCTGGGCGGCCCGCGGCCGATATTGTTGACAGCCATGACACGAAACTCATACTCAGAGTAGGGGCTAAGTCCACCGATGCTGTAACGGGTGGTTGCCACACCTTCCACTTCCTGGAAGCCGTTGTCTGAGGACTTGGCTTTATATTGAATCATATAGTAGGACACGGGTTCTGGATTCCCAGAGTCCCAGGTGAGAGTCACACTGGTGGCTGTGGTCTCTGTCACAATGAGGGAGGTCGGGGGCTTTGGCAAGGCTGAGGAGTGAGAAGCAGGGTATTACTTTTGATATCAGGAATGCACTTTTAGGACTTATGGGTAATTTGAGAAAAACTGGACGTCTGACACATTTGACACTGTAATTCTCAAAATGTAGACATATTACAGCTAACTCTGCTCCATAATTCTCCATTCTGTAACTCATAGCACTGAAATGATTGTTTCATAAGCTAATCCTTATAGTACTGTCACCAGCCATTATCCCAAATGAATAGCAAAGCTAAACTGAAATCCCAATTTTGTGTTTTGTAACTGGCCTGGCTATTACTGACAATATGAGAAAATTGCAAGAGTGGTTCCCGTTGTGACTGAACGACAAATTCAAACAAAACAGAGGGTCTTCATTATGGCTTCCTTCAAGAAGGGGCCTGTATTGCTGTGGTCCCTCTAAATGACTGTGACATTCTCTGTATTGATCAGTTGAGTGGAGAGTGGGATCGATACATACAACAGTTGATAAGAGAGGCTGCAATTGGTAGACAACACAGTCACATTGTCACACACACAGGTGTGAAGAGCTACATTCACACAAATACAAAAAAAGGACTCAACAGACAAGCAGACATACAATCCCTGACATCAATGCTCATTGACAAAGCGACGAGTATTACCTCTCAATATCAACCAAAACCACAGGCTGCAGCATAAGGGCAGCAATGGTTATGTACAAGAAGTTTCAGAGGCCATTTGAAAAGTGGTTTTGTCTATTTTATAACATTTCATTATCTTGATTTGAATCTGCGGGTGACTCAAATAAAAAGAAGAGATCACATCATTACAGTCTCACAGATAAGTTTGTAGAACAACAAGTCTGAAAAACAGCTCTCACCTTTGACAGTAACCTGAGCTGTGGCTTCGATCATGCCCAGAGAAGAGATGGCCACGCAGGTGTAGTTGGCTGACTCACGGATGTTGGTGACCTCCAGCACGTTGCGTCCCAGTGGCATCTCTTCCTCCTTGGTCAGCTCCAACAGGCCCATCGTCCACTTGACGTAGGGCATCGGAGAACCAACCGCCACGCATGTCAGGTTGATGCTGCCGCCTGGCATCACCTCTTGATGGGTGGGTGGAATGGAGAATCTGGGTGGGACTCTTCGCACTAAGGAGGGGAAAGGAGTGAATAGGTAGAATATGTAAGGTGAATGTGATTGTTTTTTTTGTTTTTTTTTGCGATTTCATGACAGGTCTTGCAACATACAACACCACAAGGCTAAAAGCTAAGTAAGAAAAGCAGACAGAATGGAGGGCTGATTGCTATTGTCCGAATGTGCAGGCGAGCACAATGGGAATAATAGGACTGTCACAAAATGGCTCTGGAAACTCATAAGAAAACTTTGAGGGGGTGTTTTATCCTCTTGCCTACAAAAGGGAATATAATCAAAAAATAGCCCAGTTTTGCTGGAGACTCTGTCTGGCCCTCTTTTGTCAGAGTGTCAAATGGTGGCGAGAGTTGCATCACTGAGGGACCCTGTGGAGATGGCATTGTTTGATTTCTCCTCCTGCTCCCTCTCTCTGGCTCCTTCTGCTCAGCCTGTCTTTCTCGCTCTCTCCCTCTCTTTGTGCAGTTCTGATATGCAGATAGGCTGACATTAAAAAGGGGTTCCCATGGAGACAAGAAGGGCCCGTTGACGTCGCCAGGGACAAGGCAAACACCGATGCAGAGGCTCCATGCAATACTGAAAAGCTGGCCCAGAATAAACAGGCAGCCAGCATTTACATACGACTTGTTTTCTAGCTAAATAAAGATACACAAGAAATGTTTGCCATATTTACACACTTTAGATCTTTTTCTGGCAACTTTTGGCAACCATAACAAACTTATCTGCTTAACATGGTAAAGAAAATCCTACTTGACACTGCTATGCGAACATCCATCAGTGTCAGACCTGTTAAATTTATGACAAGCTGAACATTACCATAGTATACAACGAATTTGAGAAGGAGGAGCTCTGACTTCTTTAACCTTGATTATGGAAAAAGTGAAGCCAAGCCAAACATTACGCTCCCAAGTGAGGAACCATTATTGCTATTCCACTACTGCTAGTTGTATGTATTCAAAACATTACAGCATGAAACTATCCCTGCAGAATTTATGCTGCTTGTTTCCCCTAATGCAATACAACACCTCTGTGTCTCTCCGGAAAAAAAAACCCTTGACTGTAATTGCTCTTTTGCACCGGTCTCCATGAAAATGGATTTTCAAATGTGAGTCTCCCTCCACCTTCCCTTTCCCCCCACCCTTCACCCCTCCCTCCCCGATCTAATTTGAACCGGAACGTCATTACAGCCATGCTTGTTATTCCCCTCATTATGTGGTGAAATGGAAAAACACAAAAGCACCTTTTGAGATTCCAGTCAGGAAAAGGCTGGTTCTCTGGACTGCACTATAATAAGGGGGACCTGGTTCACACTCATCTGAATTTTCCCAAAATAATTGAGGAGCTGTATATAGACCTGCTGCTGGTTTTAAATCGATACAATCATGTGGGCTTAAACTTCTTGGCTCAATATCTCATAAAAATATTAATATTCCAGGTCGGAGCCACAGAAGAGCCGGAATGATGCATGTTTTGAAATAAGGTCCTTGAGTTTGCTTTCCACAATTTAAGAGATAAATTAAAACCCTACAGTTTTTTTTTTTAAAAGGACTAATCTTCTCTGAGGGTTTGTGGCAAACAAAAAATCAATGTAACACTGAGAACAGTAAAGAGGTCAGCAAAACTTTAAGTACCAATGACTGTGTAATATTAATAATAATCTTAATGTAAAGTTTATAAGATGACTCAATGAACAAGGAGTTACAAGTTAGCACATTATGATGAGGGTTTCATGCAGGAAAAAAAGTCACACACATTAAGAGTCTCGAAAGATAAACAGATTATGAGCAGCCATGACATCTGCTTTCTGAAGTTCACGGGCATATGGCTGATTTTTACATGCACAGACTGGACAGAGCGACTAGTGTTACCAGCCTGGGAACAGGACAGGGACGAAATTCTCAAGCAAAGCATGCACAGGAGCTGAGGAAAGATATGGGATGAGATCATAAGCCAGAGTACGCTGGGGGAAGAAGATAAAGGGGGGACTTGGTCCAATTTTCTCATATAAATGGGCGAACATCTGATTTTCAGTGTGACAAATGCACGACAGAAGCATTGTATTCCACTTATGTTGGTAACCACATGTCTTCTCACACAACTGCAACATCTCCAAGTGCAGCTATGTTTCACAACACATGCTTATGAAAAAGTGAAACCTGAGAGGAGTGGGCCTAATGCAAGACCATTAGGGTCAAATTATCTGTTATTCTTTCATGATTCCATAGACTAAACAGTGCTAAGAGCAGTCACTCAGTGGGGCCTGTGTATATTGAACACTTAATGTTGTGAATAATTCATGGCGTGCGGTTAAGTTTGGAGAGGTGCTGTGGAACAAAATGACTAGAGGGCAGGTAATTGTTATCGATTCCCCCGAAGCCTCTCTCCTGTTGAGAGCCGCTTGGAGAGACGGGCTCCAGGACTCTATCAAAACCACAAAATAAGCCCTGTCTCCACTCTGCCTGCCTGCTTGCTGGATACCTATAAATTTAACTGCCTTGACAAAGTGCCCAAGGATAGCAGAACCTGTTCAGTGAATCAATATCTAAGCAAACTGGCACAGAGTCAGCAGGCTCCCAGGCTTCCTGGCAGCAGCACTGGGCTACCATGATGGCTGATCATCTCCCTGTCAGCACACTGCCAGCTCATTCTTAAATATTCTATAGGTCAGCTCTTTGCGTGGCAGTGTTTTGCAGATGGTACAAGTGAAGAAATAATTTCCAAAACATTACCTCTCGGTGACAATGTCAATGTCAATATTCATTAAGTCTAAAGCAGAGACTCTAAATATGTAGCTGAAGGACCAAAAGTCGTTAAATCAATTTCTTGTATAAATTTGTTAATGACTAGCTGTTATACAGTAACAAGTGTTTACATTTCATATAAAGACTTTCAGCACCACATTACAAACTTTTTTTCCTGCAGGACCTCCTGCTGCAATATCACTTGTGGGGGGGGGGGGTCTTCTCATTAGACTAATCACCTATCATATCCTTCAGTCTCTGGGTGGAGGATGCCCATGGCAGTAAAACAGACATAATCCCCTAAGAACGGCTTTGTCAGTTCTGATACCCATGTCCCTCGGTGGGAGAGCAGGGGTGTTGCTGCCTAAATACCTGACAAATCCGGTTGCCACCTGAATACCAGAGTAATCCCTAACACACCTCTGATGGGCCGGCAGAGGTAGATGGAAAGTCTGAGGGTGAAAGGAGCTATAGTTTTTGATGGATGTGGATGACAGTGACACAATGGGTGCGGTTGGGAGAAATGCACAGCAACATAACAAAACACATATCTAATAATGACTTAAGAAAGCTGTACAGGGGACCCCATGTGTGTTTTGGCAAGGCTAATCGAAACACAGTTTGGGGGGAGTGGCATTGTAAAGCATGCAAGAGCTATTCAGGGATTCATGCAAACAAGTAGACAAAACGACACGTTTACACTTTATGGAGGATTAGGGAGAGCTATTATTAATATTTTTGCTTTTCAAGGTAGGGATATCAGTGTCTTCATCAGAGAGGCTGGGAGGGATGGTTGACCTCACCTAAAACCTGGATCAAATTGAAGGGAAGGGATTAAAAGTGAAAATGACCAACCTTCACGCTGATCTGTTTTCGGATGAAGTGATTTGATGGAGGTGAGCGATGGGATGAAAAAATACAAAGTGGAGAGGAAGACAAAGACAGTGAAACAGAACATGTTTCCATAGACCCAGTGGATGCTAGTGACATGGTACAGATAAGTGAAGTAATGCAAATACAGTACCGGGGAGGGAAGCTCACTTTAACAGTGATTCATTGTTATTCTTCAGCTTTATTATTGAATATTTATTATTTTATTGCAACTAATAAATTACTTATTCTATATTCAAAACATCTAATTTATTACTGTGGATTTAAATGTGCTATTGTGCTATTTAATGATTTATCTAGCATCTCTGATCTGAATACCTATATTGATTATTATTTACCAACCAAGTTTCAGGTATTGGACTTTTTAGGCCTCCTGTAACCTGTGCAGATTTTTCTTCTATTTAAAATTACTTTTTCATCCCTTCAAAACCATCTGTTGATGTTAGGAACACTAGATGTGCACCATACCTAATCTTTTTCTTCATAAAACTGACCTAAATTGATCATTTTGTAAGCTTCACTCCCTGACACCCAGACACACACATATAGAACAGCATGAAGATATTTTGGTAAAAGAAAAGCCCAGCTGCAGCACTTTATCCTCTGTGACATATTGACATGTCACATGGATATATGAGGGAGTGCCAGCAGACAGAGGCTGACATCCCTCCTCCGTTGTGGGATAAGCACTTGACAAATGAGCGCTCATGCACAATCACAGGACGCTTGTGATTCTGCCCACGTTGATGGAGTCCTCCTTCAGAGGAGGGTCACCAAAAGCGACCCACAGCAAACAAGGTGCACACGCACCTGCACACCTACAAACACGCACGCACTCTTAATGGATGAGAAGTGGAAGGACATAAATAGATGCACAGACAGGAAGGGGAAAACAATCCATGAGCGGACCCCCCACCTTCAACAAACCCCCTCCCTCCTCCTTCAGTATCACGCTCCCCTCCCACACAGAAATATGAGGACATCACTCTCTGGTGGCTCTAAAATGTCAAGACAAGGGTGGTGACGGTGTTGCTGGCAGCATGTTTGTGTACCTGCAGACAAGAATTGGATCAGGTAGCGACGGTGAGTGGAAAAAAAAAAAAAAAAAAACAGAGGAGAAATACATTTGCAGACACAAAACACCCACTTGTAACAAGCACAATTAATGCAAGTCTGAAAGGGGTGTATGTGTGTGTGTGTGTGTGGGCGAGTGTTACAAGGGTGTTGTTAGAGAATAATAACACAATTCATTCTCTCATGGTAATCTTTTCATATGTCACCTTCAAGTAGTGGTAACTTTATTGACATTTCAAGGCTACAAATGATCGTTCTACCCAGGGAGGATGGAATTTTTAAAAGGTACTACATTTAATCAGGTGATAGATTCTTATAGCCGACTCAGAAGGGAGAGAATATTGAAACACAGTTAATCTCAGCATTAAACTGCTATATCTTGTACACCACATCACAAGGTATAAAGCATTGTGCCGATATTGTATTAAGTTGTTCACAGCACAGGCATCATTCTAATATTGTACAAGAACTTTGGAATCAACCCCTTTTTTACAGCCTGCTGTTTCACATCAACACTAAAAAATTTAGCACTTGTCCAATGACCTATTTGCCTCCATTGCTTGTTATGTTTACAAGTTTGAGCAGACGTTGTAAGCCCCTAAATCTCCCCTCTGGTGTCTTCGAATAAAAGAAAAACATATATCAACAGGAAGGGAAGAGAGGCACGTCAAAGGCCACTTGTCTTGAGTCCCTCATGTTTTAAACCCAATCAAGCAGCCCAGTGATAACACAGCCCCAGGTCTTGTCTCCTCATTCTCACCGCGGTAACAAAGACAGAGTGAAAACATGGCTTGAGCCTTTGTTCTCCATTCCAGACAAGTACACTTTTAAAAGGTTACGGTTGGTTTGATTTCTATCTCTCCACTGGTGTGGTGAGGCTGGCGGAAAAGTTGGTGTTGGGGGCCAACGGGTTGACAGCTACCTGGGTGGTGTTACAGACTAGCTGGGCCTGGGGGCCCTGCTGGCGCCACGCCACACAACAACTGTAATTACCTCTAAGGAGAAAAAAAGGCCACGTCTGCACCTGTGACAGACATGCCCTGATTAATAGACGAGACTTACATCCCTTCCTCGCCTTTGCTCTTTGGCTGGCTACCTCCCCCTGTCAAGATTTAAGATCTAAACCTTCTGGAGACCACAGTGTTTAATCTGTAAATTTGATGCTGCTATGGTCCTTGAAGATGATTTTACCTCTGGATTCTCTGATCCAGGAGGAGGGTCTGCTGCAAAAACATTTTTCCTGGATACTTTCCTATAAGGAAAAAACTGATGCTATAAACTGATAGAACACATTTTAGTCGGAGGGAAATTTGTTTAGAAAATAGTACTCTTGATTCTAATTGATCTCGATGGATGCAAAAAGAGACAATGGAATCACTGATCTGTAAAATAGCCTTTATGATGCACTACCGCATATCCTTTACAAAAATGTGTGAAGTGATAGCCAACATGTCTCTTTCTTACCCTGACACTTTCACTCCCTCCTCCCCCCTCCGCCCACACTAACAACTGGAGCAGCTATTCTGTTTCATGTACATCAGACATGGTGGTGTTATCCACAGGGGCTGACCTAGACTACTCTCTCCCCTATACCAGCTTTTTCCAGCACGGGCACAATGCTGCCTTTGCCCTGCATTAGTCTGCTCACAGAGATACTACTACAAAAACAAACCCTGAAACTCCAGGCCCCTCCGTGTCTTTAGGAGCTCTGGGGTGTGCGGGGGGGAATAATGGAGCCTTTCGGTACAGTCAAAATAAAAACGAAAGGAGGCCTGTCATGGCTTTCAATGCCAGCACAGGAAACGTTTCAATGCAGTTGTTTTCACAGAGGCCGCACCTGGTCGAGTTTGCAGCCAGACAGGAGGTTGAGGTTAGTTCACTGGTAAGGGAGGAATGGCATAGCAAGGATAATGGTGAGAGATTTGGTTGAAGGAGAGACAAAAAGAAATAGAGGTATAAATGTGGACGTCAAATGTGGAAATTACACAACAATTAAATGCCTTGAAAGTGTTTTCATTTATCCTGGCTGATTGGAACTCTGCTCAGGCTGAGGGTGGGCAGGGGCGTGCTGGGAATTACTCCATGCACCGATAAGAATTATAATGGTGTAATTTGTCCCCCCGATGGCAGGTGCAAAAAAACTAACAGGAGAGTGAGGACGATGTCAATCATACACAGTCTGCGCACGCCCGCACACTCCTGAGAAGAGCCATAATCACCCAAAATAACAAAAAAAAAAGCACTTGAGTGGGTGTAATATTGGGGGTACATAGTCTTGAAAAAGAGACATAGTTTTTACGGGGACCACACACTCACCACTGGTGACTGAACAACATTTAGAATCAAACAGACAAGAAATGGTAAAGGGTTGCGTAGTTGTTTGTGGTTTGCAAAAGCTTTCCACAACAGAAATGATAGATTAATTCAAGAAGTGAGAGAGATGTTTGACTTTACCTCGTACGTAGAGATTGGCAGGAGCAGAGTAACGGGTCCCAGCACTGTTCATGGCAACACATTCATATTTCCCCTGGTCGGACTCCTCGCTGTTCTCAATTTGTAGAGCTCCTGTGTAGAGGATTAGCAAATTTAGCTGTCTTGACAGTTGTGGAATATGAGATGTAACTTGGCATGAAACCACAGCAGATATCTGTACAGTGACTCGCAAGAGAGCCTGTAGTCAACTAGTCTAACCCAGTTCATGTGTAATTAAGTGTCTTAGACACAGACGCAGTTTTGTCAAGAAAATGCTTACGGCAACACAAGCATTTAGCTGATTTGGCAAGTTTAAGGAAACTGCTAACAGAATATTTGCCTAGTCGTGTTAAGGAGAAAAAAGACCATGACTGGGGGTCAATTAATCATCTGAATAACATGTCACAACCATCACGGTCTGATTAGGCTTTCTGCTAATGGAAATAATTGACAAACCAAAGTGTTTATGTCATGGACGGCTATCTAGCTCAGCCATATGTTAGGACCCAACTGAGCTATACTGCACAACAAAAGCAGAAGAATTAATGTAATATCTAAGGAAGTAATCAAACAAGCTGCACCTTAATGTCAACAACTGCGCAAACTGTGTTTTACACAGTTTTATCAAGGGACATTATTTAGAACCTCAGGAAGAATGCTACACTGAGTTTTGAGCAGATAATAATGTTTTCAGAGATTCTTGGTGGTGACATAAAAGGAAAACGAGACCATAATTAAGTACAAGGTACATGTAAATATAACTTTTGACTCAACTGCTCCTCTCAGTCATTATTTTCTTGATGGCCGTAGATATTGATCCAAACTCTGCCAGTGCGAGTTATCTTTTCTCCGACCTTTGTTGAGTACGCATTTAGCAGTGAAGCCTATAATTGTGTTCTTTCATTATCAACTATTTGACCATGTCTGACCGAAGCCCTCAAGGGAGATGCTCCTCTGCCAGATGGCTTAGATTAGTATTCACAATCCCAAGTAGCTGTAGTCATCAGACAGAAGGCTAACATGTTGTTTCTAACAAAGCACGAAAGCCCAAGAGACCTTCCTCGGTATGGTCATTCTGACACTCCGTGTCCATAACCATCACCTAATCATTGCTACTGAATTGCAAATGGCCGACAGATGAGGCAAGTTATAATTTGACAAATTGAAAAGAGACCAACAACAGTAAACTTACCTGCATCTCTTGATTTTAAAAACATACATGTTTAAAAACAAAACTATTTCTCTTAGCAGTAAATATACATGTCATAAGTGAGTGATAACAGTTATCACGTCTCCAAAACGGCATGGTTCTAGCACGAAAGGCAGCCAGCCACCATGCAGTTTGAAAATGATTAAAATACTCAGCATAAGATGATGTCAGGATACACTTTTTTCACATCATGCAGTATGAGATGAATGCAACAAACATGTTCACCACCAACCAGAGGGGACTCGAATCAAGACGAGGCCAAAAAAGAGAAGCAAAACAGGGCGGGGCAGTGACATGTGGTAATACCACCTCAGATCTCATGACAACACATCCCTCCAAGGTGTTTGCTCTGCTTGCTGAGCTCATCGCTGTCTGATTCAGCACTGACACACACCTGCATACTAATGTCAGTGTCACCAATCTGTCAATCTGTCCGCTCTCCCATGGGAGAAAACAGAGTGAGTACTACAGGAATGTAGACGGTTAATGGTATGACAGTTGTCAGAGTTGCAACACTAAACTCCTTCAATTACTTCTAACTCAAATACTAGTGGATCTTCTACAAGGTGATTTCACAGTTTTTTTTTTTTTTTTTACGGAGCAGCAGGGACACAGAAGCTGCCATAAGGCTACCGTAACTCCTAAAGAGTTAAACATCTAATTGAATATGGGCTGTATTAGGCGCCATGGACACACAAACACTGAGACAGACAGCTGGTAGTTCCAAATGTATTCAGCTTGCCCCAGACGTCCACTATTTACCTCACTGTGGTTGAGCGGAATCATGCTTTTTACTCGGGGGAAAAGCATATGATTTCCATAAAAAGGGGTTGAAGCTTCCACCTTAACAATCTCGACCAGGCATCCTGTTCCCATGCTGGGGGGCAATGCTGCATAGGCTGTATGCAAATGCAGCCATTTCAATTTACATTGAGGCTGCATAGAGGAGGCAGGTAGATCCTCTTGTGGCAATGGTGGCCTTTAGTTTAAAATGCAGTTCCTTGCCCCTCTCTGCTGAAAAGTCAGAGGAGAGGCCGTAGCTGAAAGATGTTTGTTTCTGTGTGAATGTGTGTGTGGGTTTGCTCATAAATGTGGTTCATTTCTAACAGTATAAGAAGAACCTTGAAAAAGCTAATTTACAAGGTAACACCTTGGACTTGCTTTTGCATTTTCATTCTCCTGACATCAGGGTTGGTGATCATTTGTTTGTTCAGGAGCAGACGGCAGACAGAACATGACCAGACAGAAAACGTTGGGAAGAGACGAAGGGGTAAGTGGAAGAGGGTGAGTTGGCGCTAACAGCGTGAATGAACCTGGTGATGTGGCATCGGGGGAGGGGGGTGCAGGGGTCTGATGTAAATGTGAAGGAATGGTGTGGATGTGATATTTTCCAACACACTTTATTTATCATCCTTACCTCTAATTGGTGTACCACCTAGGTGGGAGTAATTTCGATGCAAACAGGGTTGAGAGATTAGTTAGTAATCCACTTACAACAGTGGGAGAGAAAAACATGGCTTCTGACAGGCCACAGATAAAAAAACTGATACAGTGTAGAAGCCACTTAAATGCAATGTGACAAAGTTCAGTGTTCTTAATTCTATGAAGCAAGTATAAATTCTGGACTGTCCACTCTGTCTGTAAATGTCCAAAAACAACACAGCCTTTGAGAAGGATCCTTTCCGTAAGGCATACATTTTGAAGTATAATGCTGCTGCTTTTATATTTGCAGACAACACCTACACCCACATTTGTCCTTACTTCACAGCAGCATTAGAACAGTATGCAATTTAAGCATTTTTTTTATTTTTTTTATTAAGCTTTCTAAATTAAGATATACCCCTGTCTTTGTACAGACTGCATTTAGGCAGATAGCAGTTAGTGAAATGGGCAAGAGAAATGAATGAGTCATACCCATTAAATAGAATGATGCAAGCAAAAAGTCTTCAGGTCAAGAGGTATTGAAACTGAAAAGAAGTTAGTATCGTTTACAATGTGGATGATTTGGATGGTGTGAAAAGATAGACCAAGTGTGTGTGTTTGTGTGTGTGTGTCACTAAAAATCCAGTGAGTGTGATGCAGTAAGAGGAACTGGGTCTGGCATTTCTGTTAAACTGTGGCAGCAAATTAATGTGCTTTTTCTCGCCATCGCAAAAAAATTGGCCTAATTTCAGGTCATATGCAGTAATGTAAATCCTGATATGCAAGCAGATGTCAAGAGAAGGGTGGAGGATAAAAAGAATTGTTAGTCTGAGGGCATTACATATCAGCACATTTCCAGGCACTCTCCCTATATACGAGAAAGAAAACTAATTAAAAGTTTGTTGCTAGAAGTAAAAAAAAGAAAAAAAATTACAGTTTTATGCACAATTTTATCCTTGCTATAAAAACATAATCATACAATTAAGTAGTTGTGTTAATATCTAATTTGTGGTAAATCTGTATCTAATTTGGGTTGCGCTTGTAGCAGAGCCACAATTTAATATTGCAAGAACATGGACAGTCCAAGAGAACATGCTCCAGTGACCCGTATTCAGCTTCCACTGGGCAGCTTTAGTGCCAGGCTTTTTCTAGAGTAGCTCTCATCTTTAATCTTTGGGGCTTCAGACCTGCAGCCTGGCCTGACACTGTCTAAGTGAGGTACATTTAGTAAGAAGTGACAATACTGAACCTGGTCAAAAGCCACTAATCTTTCCACCTTGCACCTTTATCATCTGATCCAGGTCAGGCAAGCGCTGTGTTTATCTATCAAGTGGACTGATCCTGTGAACAAAGAGTACCTCATTGATTTTTTTATTTTTTTTTTTCAAGGTTGAATCCGAGCTAATACATCATCAGTTGGCCTCACTGTGACCCAGCTGCATGTTAAAGAGGGGATTAAGGATTATTTAATATGGTGAAAAATTCTCTTTCTGTACTTTGGAAGGTTACAAGCTCATATATCAATGTCAGAGACGGCAGGAACAACTTCAGTCCAGCTTCTGTGTTACTTTATAAGTGGCTGCAGCTGTTATGAGGAATAGAATCCTGTAAAAACTCAGCCAACTAATCAAGGTGACAATGACAAGCTGAATAAAACTTTCATGTCCTTTGTGATGAAAGAGAATACATGAAATCGTACATGACAACAAAGGCTTTTGTGTTTCCACATCATCCTCATGTCTAACCTGACTCATGTCTGTTGGCATTTAATGTCATCTTTTACCCTGCAACTTGCCTTCGCTATAATTTACATGTTCCATATGTCATGTAGAGTAACATTTTAAAGAAATTAAATCAGATCAAATCAAATTGTACCTGAGCGAAGCTGTTTGATGCGCCCGTTGCTGCTGCTGATGTCCACAGGAAGCATGTCCTTGAACCACGAGATCTCTGGGTCTGGGTTTCCGCTGGCAGCGCACAGCATGGTGGCAGTTCTGGTCCTTTCAACCACCTTCAGTTGGGGACCCATATCGATGGTGGGGAAGCCATGGGGGATCTGGTTCTCTGAAAATTTGCAAAGGTAGATTTTCAGTATAGCCACAGACATAGAGTGTGAAAAAATGTATAAGAAGGAGGAAAAATGTGTTTACAAAAGGATTCTGGCTCTCACTAGCCATGAGAGGTGTTGAGTGCATCAAAGCTATTGAGCTCACAAGGACAGAGAAGAGGATGAAAGAGAGCAAATACATTTCAGCTGCGACAGGCTAAACAGTAATAAGAACGCACATGTTCACTAAAAAAATTTAGTGTTAGAACACAAGTTACTACTGGGGATTGGTAGACCTGATGCTGATTTGGATTTCAAATTTGGTTGAAAAAGAAAAAAAAAAAAAAAAAATCCTGTCTCCTGATTGATTATCATAGCAGGCTTATTACCCAGCACGGGGAGGCTCAGGTTTAGACAGAGGAAGGATAGTTGCAATCTGCCTTTGGGTATCCATGCATAAATGAGCTGCCTTAAGCTTAGCAAGCTAAACAAACCTATTTGAATAATCCAACTCATCATAATCAGTGTAACAGCATATCCATGACAAAACATTAAGTATAATCCCTAAAGTAGAGTTTGGGATCCTAGGGTGAAGGTGAAAGGTTTGTGCAAATATGTAATGATATCATATCATGTCATCATATATATCATATATATGGATGTTTTCAACAAAAGGTGAACAAACTACAAACGCAGGAAATGTTTTAACTCTTAACTCCTTCTGATATTCAGATTAAGCAAGGCAATATCTCAGTGTGTGGAGTTCTGAGGAAGTATAAAGGAAGTTTAAAATAAATGACAGGAATTACATATGTTCCATATAATGGCATTGCAAGCCACATTTAATCTCTTAAATGAAATATGAAGTTGTATTTCTGTCACAGACAATCACTTATCTGGCCCAACTGGCCTAACCTGACCTCACCCTGATAATAAATCTTAATTTAACCTCTCAACCTCTGGACAACCTTAATAAAGAGGAAACACGGTGGCCCTTGAAAGGTGTAATTATCAGCTTGCGCTCAAACATGGAACCTCTTTTATCTTTCTCCTCATATGTGGATGTGTCCTTGGTGCCCTAATGAAAAGTGCTAATGATTGTAACACTCTTGCCTTTGGTGCAGTATGAAAAGATATCTGACTGCAGGTTAACAATGAGCAGAGGACTGTTTCTCTGCGTAGATGAACAGCATTTATACAAGACATAGATTTGGCTTATTTAGGAGATTTAGGAGAGTTGAGAAATGTTTGTCTAGAATGGGATTTTATGTCAAGATAGGCGAGGAGAGCAATAAGTTGTTGTGGAACAAGGTATTTAATCTCCAACTACAAACACCTTCTTTACTAAAAGGCTATCAGTCATGAGCTATGCTGAGCTATAACTACACACACTGTACTCTTGCTAGTAGGTTCATAAGAACCCCATCAAACCCTTATAAACCCTATATATAACCCTATAAAAAATCTGCTACTGACTCCTTCATAACTGACTACATTTGCTCCACCTACAGTATTATCATTACACTTTTTGATTCCATCAGTAGTGAGGCTGTCTAACTAGAGATGGGATCACTTGGCTCTTCAGAGTCAAAAATCCATATGTAAACTTATATGGCTGTAGCAAGCATACGAGTATCGGTGTTGTTCTTTGTTCTAAACTCCAGCGGAGCCGTTTTTTTCTCCTTTCACCCTTGTGTTTGGCCGGCAGCCCGGATCGTCTCATATTCAAATGTAGTTGACAGATCTCTGCATGCCTTCTTATCTTTGTGGCGAGGTTTACTTCCTGTCTAATGATACAGGATTTGTTTTTCAGACATCCCAACCGAAATCAGGATACCTCTACAAAAGAGACAACTACAGCACAATGAAATAATACTGTACAATTTGTCATTGTATGAATAATGGTAACAGTAGCGCCCTGTGGTCCTCTGTGGTTTGCTCTGTCTAACCTTCAAAGAGAAAGAGAAGGTAGAGAGAGAGACAGAGATGGTGAAAGGAAAAGAATCAAAGAGAATACCCGGTAGATACACACCCTACGTAAGGTTGAATGCGTAGTCATTTTCTGAATGAGGGTTTATTTAAAAGACAATTTTTAAAAAAATGGAATGTTTGGAGGCCAAAGTTGGCAAAATAATGCATTCTTCTGCTATTATCCTTTTAAGGTGAAACTTAGGGAAACCACTGAATTACACTTAACCTAGAGGGAGCTAAAATCCAGCCTCACCCACTTAATTCACTTAGAATATGTTCATAATGGCCACAGATCAGCTGACAGGGGGGTCCCTTTGTGGCTGCTGACAAGGACCCAGTTGTCTCATGTATGCACTTGCAGGAGTGGGAGGCATAGTTGGTGTGGGTTCACGTGGTTGTGTTCGGGGACAGCAGGCTGTGTTTGGGGACCTTGCTTCAGAGCTAAATTAGGTGCTCAGCTAGTCTGTGCAGTGATGCAGCAACACCATCTGGATGTTGGAGTTCCCAAAAAATACCTTTCATAGATTCTTTTTCTATTCATAAATTTAATCAATTAATATTGGTAAAATTGTCAGTTTTATTTCCCAGGAATAATATTTATTTCATTTTAGAATGTTCCACAGCCTTATCTTTGCACAACATGCATCTATCTGTCATACAAATGATGAAATTGATGAACAAGCACAAAAAACATGAATATAGAGGTGTACGCAGGTGTACATTGTCTAACACTGAATACACAGATTACCACTGACAAACATTTGTATAAGTCTACAGCTTTTGATATGATGTAGACTTGAGCTGATCTTCAATCAAGCGCGGATATGAAAAAATTCTGTACATTTGACTTTATCTTTCCAGCAGCCTCCTATGTTCATGCATCATGTCATGCATGCTGTTTACATGTAACACATGAGCGGGCCTCTGAAATCACTCCATCTCTCAGACAGAAAGTAGTGCAGCTTCCCCTCTAGGTCTGGTATATTGTAACTATATGGCGGAAACTAATCGATTGAATAAGGCATGACACTGACCTGTCAATCAAACCTAGCCTGGGACTGTACAGAGGAGGACTGACAAGTCTGTCATACCATATTTTAAGGTGAATTTCTCAAGATTTGATCTATTTCCTCCAGACTATACCGACAGCAACTTTACGGTTTATAACACACAGATCGCCACAGAAAGGACTGTGTTGTCTTACAGGGGGGAAAAAGCTGCTTATGCAGTAGTGTTTGTGCAACTGAAGACATACCAGCACATGAAATTTCTACCAAAACCTCTTGTGTTGGTGCCTATGGAATATTTATGATTAGGTTTATTGGCGAGTGTTCCCGGGCTGTGAAAAATGCAAACCATTGGTAAAACAGGGTGAAAGACCCCAAAGGAGTTATTACACGAGTCAGCGGCTCTGTCATATCAGGAAGCACAAACAGGGAATAATTTAAAAGGCAAACAGCTGCTGCACAGCTTATACATGAATCAATCCCCTACTTCAGCTTAATGTTTGCATTGCAGGTGAACAGTTACTATGACTGGTGGACATTTCTTTCACAGTTTGTCTGATTGGTGCACCATGGCTTTACTTGGTGTGTCAATTCTATCATGGGACATGATAGAATTGAATGGAATACTGGCTGGGCAACATCTACAGTGAATGTTATACATTTCTGTTGCTCTGCTGCAATGTTATTTCCACAGTTTGTATGTGTGTGTGTGTGTGTGTGTGTGTGTGGGGGGGTCCGAGGTTAGTTACTCTTGGGAAAGTGTAACCAGGAAGAATACACAAAATCTTTTCTATTCCTCCAGCAAACAAAATGGATTTCATTATTATGATTTAAAAAATTCCACGAAAGACTGATTAACAATAAGCTGATTAACCTTTTACTTTTTAAAACACCCTTAAACAACTTTAGAATTTTTTAACATAATGCTCAGTATAAAAGGGTGAAATTTCTTTCATAGTTGTGAAACCATGCATCCTTGATCTAACGTAGCTTTGTCCTTGGCCTCTATTAAAAAAAAAAGAAAAACTGAAAGTTCTTTCTATGCACTTATCAAAGATCTTGTAGAGCTATTGTGTAACATTTGAGCCCTGTCTGTCTATTCCTACTACTCCAACTCCTGCTGCTGGCCTTGTCTGCCAACTTGTCATCCCAGGAAGACAAAGACATGCCTTTGTTCAGTCCTCTTTAATTTGAAGGGAAAAGAAAAGGGATGGGGAAATTTGGAGAGAATCCAATGAAATAGTGCAGGCAATGCAGGTTGATGTTTGTCAAGATAGAGGGCATTTTTAATAAAAAGGCCCTCTTGTGCCGGAGTGTAATTCATCAAAAAAAGCTCCACTCCTCTGTCTAGTCTGGGCAGGAAAATACGAATAAGGCGAAAATCCTGCGATAATGTCACATAGACCCTCCATTACTAAGATGAACGGTGCTACAGGGGAAAAAAACAACAAGAAAAAAAAAACAAAAAACAATGTCATGCGTGACATGTAAGGAGATTATTGTGTTCTACTTCTCAATCTAACGATCAAACTGGTTTATTTTGTGTGTAGGCAGACTAAACAATCTGAAATTATGCATGCTTCATGCAAACCATTTTACTGCGACTGATCTAAGAAAGTGTGGTAGATATCTCGTACTGAGGAGTCTTATCTGTCTTAAACCAACGATACTTAATGAGACTTTGTTGTGTTTGAGAAGTGACTTCTGTGATGTAGTTGTTACAACAAAAAGTTGTAGAAATTCCCTGGATTGGCAAATGAGGAAGGCCAGAGGCAATGCCAGAGACGTGCAAGAGGTAACGCTAGGTGCACATGAAGTGGTTCCTCCATGATTTGAAAAGTAAATAGGACCATTGTTCTCTCAGCAGCCATTTATCACGCACAGAGTCATACTGCAATATGAGCCAGCTTAGCAGATGAACTTGTTTGCAGAGGTTATAGCGGAACGGTAGAAAAGTGAGGGCAGAAGGGAAAGGCGTAATGTGGTTTTCTGATTCTACTACTCAATTAGGATAGCAGTGGGGGCCGTAACTATACACA